GGGTCCAACCATTCCCATAGAATTAAGATAAGAAAAATTATTTTATTTTTGTAGTAGTAATTTTTTATATTATTGAATCTTATTTTAAATAAAAGCAAATTAATTAAGAATTTAAATTATAATTTTCAATCTAAATATTTTAAGATTAATAAAGTTTATAATAATAATAAAATTTTATTTAATTGCATTTCATTTTATAATAAAAGTTATTAAAAATAGTTTATTAAAATAAAAGATTTGATGGGAATTTAAACATTAAGTTTTTTTTTTTTAATAATTTTATTCAATATTAATTATTAATTGCTATTGAAAATTCGCAATGAGAGTTCCCAAGCTCAACTGCGAGTCTGCAAGTTAGAACAGGAGAAGGACGCATTCTCACAAAATTCCCAATCGGTTTCTCTTTTGATTTTCGCTTTGGTGAAGCTCAATATCCGAAAGCTATGGCAGGAGCTGCAGCTGCTATTGTGGAACTTGAACAAGTTCTCAGGTCCAAACCGGTACTTACTCAGCACCATATCTTCATTTCAATTTTTTCTTCTGGCTACATTATCCTCTAACCCTAGATTTTGCTACAATTTTCTCTGGATGTCATTATTAATTGGTTCTGTTCCTACTGCTTATTCAGAACCTTGCTTTTAGATCTCTTTTGTTTTGCCTCTTACTTTGTAAGGTCTCCATACCGTTTTCTACCTCAATATTTGAAATTTTTAAAATGTTTTTTTAATTTTTTTTTATAAAAAATTTGTAGGAGAAGATGACCCGTGAAGAAATCAATATTCTTCTGGGATGCCAAGCTAAGGTTTTCAGGACATCAGCCGCTAGTGCCCTTATTGGGAGCGCTGCTGTTTGGGCAGGTACGGTTTTTCGTTCCTGTCGCGACTGTCGTCAACTTGGGATCTTATATGACCACCTACAGCATTTTATTTCCTTCTTCCTTAGAAGTCCTCAACTTCAGGTATCTTGGTTGGTCATGGTGCTTATTTGACAATTGAATGAGAACACCACAATTATTTTTTAGAAGAATATAAATTTTATTTTGCACCTAAAAATATTTAGAGGTAGAGTTGTTCTATACACAAATCTGTCTAAAGAACTAGCCAGTTCTCCTTGCAATCGTGGTTCTTAGAAATAAAACTTTGACTTGATTATTTTTGAAATTTCCATGATTTAAAGTTAAAAAAATTTGTGTGCGAGCACGGGGATCTACTGCACGTCCTGGCTTTATGCGACCACGATAGGCTTGGCTTTAAACTCTAGACTGTGTGAGATGTTTGCAAATGAGTTCGGAAGAACATAAAAAAGGTTACTACCAAGACAAAAGCCAGAAGACAATGAGATTATACAAATCATGATCCTTTACATTTCCATTCCGTAAAGGTGTTAGTTACCTAAGCCCTCCAACCAATGCAGCCGGCCTCCTACTTCTTGTCCATGATCTAGTAACTTTTAGTTTATTTCAAATGGCCCATTACTGATTACGCAAATAAGCAAAACAGTTTTAAACATTCATCCATCCATGTTAGCAAAGAAATTTGCAGTGAAGTTTAAGGTGGGATGATATTAAGTTACCAGTTGAACAAGGGGTTTTGGGCTTGAAACCTCTTGTTATGGCGAACGTAGCTCTACAAGGTCAATGGATGTGGAGGTACATGAAGGAGGAGGACAAATTATGGAAGAGTATTGTTGAGGCCCGTTGGGGGAGGATTGATGATGGAGGGGCCAGGAGAGAGGTGGTGAGACTGCATGGTATAGGATTATGGAGGAAAATATTGATTTTTTTTTTTTGAAAGAATATGGAGGAAAATATTGATGGATTGGCCAAAACATCAGAATTGCATTAGCTAGAAGTAGCTAGGAGGAACAGAATCAAGTTTTGGTTGGATGAGTGGGTGGATGGGGGAAGTCTTAAGAAGTATTTCCCGAGGATCTTTGCCATTGCACAATTGAAGAATTGGTTATCAAGGACGCATAAAGAGAAGGTAATAGTAACAGGGAATGGATTGTGAATGTGAATAGGAATCTTAATGATTGGGAAATTGAAGCGTATGAAGCATTCCTATTTCTATTATCTATGGTGCATGTTAACCAAAACAAGGACCAGATTGCTTGGAAGTTAAAGCAAAATGCAAAGTTCATTGTTAAGTCCTATTATAATTTCTGGTGGGAAGAGTGTCGGTGGGGTCACTAGGTTCCCTACTTATCAGATTTGGAAAGGGAAGGTGCCTCCATGGATAGCTTTCTTTGCCTGGGAGGCAGGGCAAGAATGCATATTGATGATTGACAAGCTAATGACAAGAGGCAAAATTATGGTGAATGACTGTTATTTGTGCAAAAAAGTTGCGGAGTCGTGTAATCATGTTCGTCTTTGGTGCCCAGTAGCTTATGAATTACGGACAATGGTCTATGGATTATTAGGGATTAACTGGGTTATAGTGGGAACTGTGAGAGATGAGATTTGGGCTTGGGAAGGGTTATGTAAAAAGAGAAAATTTGTAAAGCTTATTTTGCTAACTATTTTTTGGGTTTTGTGGAAAGAATAGTAGGGTTTTTGAGGACATTGAGGGTGAGACGCCTAAGATTAGGGATAGGTAGTTTTATTATTTTGGCTCTTTGATGTTGCTTCATAACATTTATATGATGGAGGATTTTGGAAATATCATTAATATACTAACAGAATTGTGAATTTTGGTTTTTTTTTTGTAAATTGGTGTTACCCACTTGATACCTTGTCTCAAAAAAAAAATAATCCAAACCTATGGTAGGCCACCTCTATCCTGAGAAAGTATTTTAATCTTTCTAATTTTTTAATCTTAAATTGTTTAGCCAGACACTGCTTGAGAATCATCTTCTCATCTTCATTATTTTCTGTAACAATTATATCATTTACATACACCAGTAGGGATGTGCCCCACCCGGACTCTTGAGTGTTTGGTGAATGGGGTGTGGTCTTCCTGACTCCATCAGTCCATGGATAATATCACTCTGATAAATCTCCCAACCCATGCCTGGGGAGGTTGTTTAAATCCATACAATGTCTTTTTTAATTTGTATACCTTATTCTTTTCTCCTCCTGTTGCAAACCCTGCAGGAATCTTCATATAAATTTTCTCTTCCAGTTCCCCAGTATGAAGACATTCTTCACGTCAAACTGCTGTAACTGCTAATTATTCTACCTATTGTTCTCTTCTAATATTATTTAATCTTTTTTACAGCAACAAGGAGGCTAAGTACTTTGTTTCGAGTTAACCTTGTAGCTGGTAAGATTTCTGCTACTACTCTCTCTCTCTCTCTCTCTGTACACAGATAGATATAATCTTCCCTCCGTTTAAAAATTATTGGTGATATGGAAGAGATTATTGATTTGCCTGCTTGTGGAAGGCCTTGGAAATACACAATTATTTATTTTGTCCAAAAAATTGCAGCTTGTGTTGATTGATTAGAAATTCTCCTTCATTTAAAATTCGATTGCTTGGAAAATCATATTTCTCTCTCTTTAAATAAATATCTTCTAGTAAAAATTTTCAGTAAGCAGGCCTTACCTTTGTGAACAAGCTGTTGATTCCACTTGCATCCCTTTCTCTCTCTTTCAAGTTGGAAGTAGAAAACTATTCTGTGATCAGATTCTTACCTTTATTTAGGAGCCATCTTTCATCTCTCTCTCTCTCTCGCTCATATTTGAAGAAAAAGAAATTCTATGATCAAATTCTTTCCTTTTTGTAGGAGCTGCTGCATACATTGCACTGTGGAGATCTGCTAAGTCCCTAATTTCATGCACTGATCATATTCTGGGGCTAGATGGAACTCGTATGCAGAGAGAGTTAGCAAATATGTAGGTTACCCCGCTATCATTTACTAATTTATTCCAAAATTTCAATTCTCTAAACCACATAAGAAATGATATTTATTTATTTATTTGAAAATATTAGAAAATATTCATAAGCAAAGATTTAAGAAAAGCCAATATCAAGTTAATTAAGAAAGCTTTGCAAAACATTGCCCGGATCTCTTGGATAAATACCTTGAGATTTTGATCTTGTACATGGACCTTTTAAGACAAAGTCTGAAGCAGGAATTAGGTCTTGTTCTGGATTTTGCTTTTTCTACCTATTTTGCATGAAGCCTTACGAGCTCATTAGAGAGAATCCTTGAATCTCATAAAGAAAAAAGAAACAAATTTTTGTTGTCTGAAATCTGATGTTCAATTTCCTTGAATTTGGTCTTTTTGTATCACATATTGCAACTGCTTCCTTGTGGTAACTACCCTCAAATAAGATAAGCACCTACCTTCCTCTACAATCAAATCTTCTAACGTATCAAAGTACTTCCTACCAATCTAGTAGGCTTGAATAGTAAAATGGGCCCTGTACTATTGGTACTTTTTTATTTAAATCCCTTATTTTTCTTTTGTTATTTTTAAATGTTTCTATTGCTTTTAGTCAAAACCATATGTCATTGACTGGGCACATGTTGATGACGTGGAAATTTTTTTTCCACTTCATCACATTAAATTGTTTTTAGAGATAAGATCCCTCTTCACCTGACACACACAAGCCTTAACCCCATATTCAAAATGCTAATTTGGTCCTTGAAGAGAGAAGCTTGAAGAGAGTGTGAGGAGCAGAAAAAGAATCACAAGCACAGAGAAGCTTTACAAGAGAGAGACATAGCTTGAGGATGCGCCCACTACAGAAGCAAGCTGGAGGACGTGCTGTGTTGGGCTACCGTTGCTTAAGGAGCGTGAAGCTTGACAGGAGAGAGAAGCCGCATGAGGGAATCTGCCTCCGCCATTTTTTTTGTCTCTCTGCAAATTCACTCTAGTTACCATATTCATACAATACAAAGAGAGCAGCATAGGGCACTACGAGTTCTCCCCTGATTCTAATTTCCTATATATTTATGTATGTACATATATACATATATATCAAGTCATAACTATGGATTGCTTATGTTCATATACACATTAATCAAGTCATAATTATGGAGTGTACTGAAAGGTTACTTCAGATGGGTCGCCTGTGCCTGCTCTCTCTTATTTAATAAAATTAGAGCCAATTATCATATATGTACTAATTAATTATTTTATTCAGCTGTATGTTTATTTGGAGGGTAAGGAAATATATCCTACCCAATTACATGATTTGGGTATACGACTGTAATTGGATTAACAAGACACCATAAAAAACATATATATTTATATAGATATGTTATCTGTATAGGGGAAGTTGACAGCATATGTAGCAACAAAATGACATTTATGAGAAGTCATCATGAGGTTATACGTCATGATATATCTCACTTCCATTTGAATACTCACACTACATACATATATATACACATTATACACATTCACTAAATAATTTTCATCTCCTATAGACTAAAATATATAAGGATTTATATATAATATGAAAGGATTTATAATTTTCATCTCCTGTAGATTCTCCTGAAGCTTCTCGTGCAGCCTGTCTCTCTTTTCAAGCTTCTTTTCTCCTCAAGCAATGTTGGTCCAATATAGTGCATCCTCGAGCTTGCTTCTACAGTGGATGCATTGTCAAGCCCTCTTTCTTTTGTAAAGCTTCTCTCTGCTCGTGATTCTCTCTCTACTCCTCATACTCTCTCTCTCTCTCGTCAAGCTTCTTTTCTCAAGCACCGAATTAATGTTTTGGATATTAGGTTAGAGCTTGTGTGTGTCGAGTGAAGAAGTGATGTAGGACAAATTAGGGTTATTTGTCTAGTAAGGACTTGGAGAATAACCTAATATCACACCTTGGGTTCTTAGGCATCACACCTGATGGTAAATTCTCAAAATTATTATTAAATTCTTGAATAATCAGTAAGAGGAAATTATAAAGATATTTATAGTAATCACTAAGTAACTTTTGCTAAGTAGGATTAGATTAGGAAATAGAAATGTAGTGGAATTAAGAATGCTATTCTTAATACAAATAGAAAATTATACAAATAAGAATAAACTCTTAACTCTTATAAAATTCTTAATAATAAATTGAAAATAATCTAACAATAAATAAATTCCTATTATAGCTGTGTGCCATCAAGAGGTATCTTGTCTCTAAAAAACAATCTACTGTGATGGTGTTGGAGGATGACGTGGAAAAAAATTCCACGTCACCAACAGGTTGCCAGTCAACGACATGTGCCTGAACACACGACATCGGCTAACTGTAAGTTAATTCCTGTTAGTGCTTATTTAAAAACATTTTAAAAGTATAGTGGTTTGTATGGAACAAACAAAAATTTAAGAGTTTAAATAGAAAAATATGAGTAGTACATGAGTCATTTTACTATTTAAGTCCAATCTAATATCATAAAGAAAAAAGAAACAAAATTTTCTGAAATCTGATGTTCAATTTCCTTCGATCTGGTTTTTTTTTGTACTAGACATTACAACTGCTTCCTGCCAATAACCACCCTCAAATAAAATAACCACCTAACTTCCCCTACAATAGAATCTTCTAACATATCAAACTACTTGCTATGCATTCTAATATGCCCTATCTAATGTAAACACATAGTTTAGATAATACAAAACAGATCTTAAAAACAATTGATCAATGAAGCTAGGCACCATTGTCACTATCTGCTGCTTTTTCTTTCTTCTGGCTATGCTTATAAACTAACCAAAGTTTTTGATCCATAACATCAATCACTCCCTTGGAAAAGTGTTTTACTAAAGATGGGTAGCAGGATACCAAGGAATAAGTGGATCACCAAGAAGCTTCAGTAGAGATAAACCCAGCCAATGAACAAGAACTTCTGGTTGACAATTAAGCACACTAAGATCAAGAATAGCTTTTGGAGTTGACAGAAGTGAGTTCTGAGGAAGAGCATGAATGTAAGTCAGCAAAATGTCATCATGGAATTTCTTGAGATGAGAGATATGGAAAACAGGATGTGGAACCTGTCTGTAGAAGATTAATGATATACAACTGGACCCACCCACTTAAGTACTGTAAAAGGGCCATGTAACTTTGGCAAAATATTGTTCTTATGCCACCCGGCAACAGGTCATTGATGATAATGCTGTAAACAGAGTAAGACCTTGTCACCCACTTGAAAAGAAACCTCCCTATGATGTGTATCATAAGGATTCTTTATAAAGATTGAGCATGTAGTAGCTTGTTATGTAATGACTTTAACATGTCATGTCAGTTCTTGAGCTTGCATCTATTGCCTTAATTTTGGACAACCCTGGACAATAATCCAACAGACAAGGTGGGCAACAACTGTAGTCAAGGTCAAAAGGTGTGGATTGTAAGGTTGAGTGCGACTCCATATTGTAGCTATATCTTGCCGAAGATAACCAATCAAGGTATTTGTGAGGATGATCACTTGTGAGACAACAGAGGTACATCTCTAGTGTATGGTTCACTTTGGTTTGACCATCACTATAGGGATCATATGCCAAAGGAAAACAAAGTTAAGTACCACGTAGAAGGAAAAGTCATGTCTAAAATTTACTAGCAAAGATGATTTCTCAGTCTAGTAGTATAGATTCTAGTAACCCATGCAAATAAAAGATATAATAAAAAAACAAACATGGTATACTCATGGCAGTAAATGGATGAAAAAATGGAATAAAGTGACATTCTTGGAGAATGGATCAACAACATCCAATAGAACACTTTTATCAAGAGAGTATGGAAGCCCTCCAATGAAATGCGTGAAATATTAGACCAAATAGAAGTAGGTAATATGAGGTTTTGAAGGAGAATGACTAGTTGTAAGGGTTTAATTTTGTCTTTGACAAACCAAACAAGAACAAAAAATCTTGGACCTTCTTCATGCCTGACCAATAAAAAGCTGTTGAGATGCGGTTCAAGGTCTTTTGATACCCTTTGTGGAATTGAGAACAGGTTACCGGAATTAGTGCTGAAATTAAGGGTGATGAAGCTAAATGGTAGACCCTATGTTTATAGAAGATAAATTGTCATTGAAAGGCCAAGGAGAAGAAGCTTGACCATTTTGAATCCAACAAAACTAACATTTGTAGTTCTAGAATGAAAGAGACCTTGGGTATGATTATCAAAAAGAGACAACTGAGACATAGAAATAACTTAAAGGATACTTTGATCTTCATTTTGCCTAGAGAAGGCATTGACAACCACATTATCTTTACGAGCTTGACATTCCACTTTAAAATCCAATCTCATAAGCTTACTCAAACAGTGTTTTCGAGGCAAGGTACTGATCTGTTGTTTATTTAAAAAAAAGAGGTACTGATTTGTTGCGCCAAAAGGAATTTGAGTTATAGCGATCCATGTGGACAATAAAAAATATCCATGATAAACAAAGACACCAACATCTTACTGCTTTAGAACGGCCAACTAAGTCTTTTTCATAGGTAGGTAAATGGTGATGATGGGCTGCAAAAGGTCGACTAAAGCATACTACAGGCCTACCAGCTTCTTGTTGGACAGCCTTGTTATGATATTTGAAGCATCACATTCCACCACAAAAAGAATGGAAAGATTAGGAAGCGCAAGGAATGAGGTTCTTCTTTAAAGTCTCAAAAGCTTGAATCGCCTCCTAATTCCAGATAAAAGAATTTTTTTTCAACATATTGGTTAGTAGAGCCTCAATAACACCATAATTGCAGACATATCTTTTGTAATAATCTGTAAACCCAACAAATCCCCATTTTCCACCATCTGTAGAAGATAGTGACAATTGTAAGATTGCTGAAATTTTACTTGGATCAGTGGCTACACCATCAAAATGAGATAATATGGCCCACATATGCAACTTGCAATTCTCCAAACTAACACTTTGACTTTTTAAGAAAAACAAAATGTTGTTGTGGAATGGGAAAGA